GAACGCCCGCTCGCGCACGGGGACGGGGTTCTTTTGACGTGACGCGCGCGCGCGCGCGCGCGCGCGGCGAAAAGCCGTGCGCAAAGTAGTCGCTGATAAATCTATGCGCGGAATAACCGGGAAATAATGGCCAAGCGAAATGAGCATTTCGCGGCGTGCTCGATAAAAATATGACGCAAAAAGCTCGCGCTGCGCGACCAACGGCTTCTCTACTCTACTCGGCCTTTCTCTCTCCCGTTGATTCAGTTGGTGCGCTTCGCGAAAGAGATATGACGCGGGGAAAAAAGCATTAAAGAGAAGATGAAGAAGAAGACCAACCGACCGACCGACCGACCGAGCAAGCGACCGACCGACCGACCAACCAACCAACCAGCACACATCTATCCACTCGACCACGTTTGTAGAACGACCGACAGCGGGAACTGTCAACGGCCGCGTAACGCTAATGAAAGGGGATGGCTGGATATAGCGCGCAGGATCCCCCTCGCGTCCGGTCGCCCAAGAGCGGCATCACGCTCAGACGCGCGACTAACGATGTTTTAAATTTGAAAAACGCCCGAGAAATAAAGCCCCGTGCGCGAACACACACTCCGGCGGGCGACGCGACGCGACGCGACGCGAGGCTGTGTTCACGAGGAAATCGCGCGCGAACTAGATTACGCGCCGAGAACTTCTCCTGCTCTCACGCTGCCTTCGGCCGCGCCGTGAGCGCGCGGGCGTCTCTTTGAATGACGTCTTGTTATTCAAAGAGCCAACACTCTCTCCTCACCCCAGCCCTTCGTCCTCAGCCCATCGAGCGTCGTCGCGCAGCGTCGCATATGCGCCGGTATTAACTCCGAACTATTACGACGGCGTCGGATCCAACCGCAGTGCGGACAGTTCGTGATATATATCCGAGCAAGTTTGCTGACCTCGGTTTTGCTATCGCGAAATTAAATGGCGGAACGCGCAAGTCGGAGCTTGCGCGATCATTAACGTGAAAGAGAGGTGGCGCGACTGCGTTTTTTCCCTTCGCCTTCATTTTTTGCTCTCTTTTCCTTTCTCTCTTTCTTTCTTTCTTTCTTTCTTTCTTCCCTCCCTCCCTTTTCCTCGAGCGGCAGCGGCGGCGGCGACGACGATGCCGAGTCGCAGGCGGTTACGTAATGCGTAACGAACCGACCTCGAGTGTGTGGAGTCTCTACGCGTCGCGAGATAATTAAAAAATGATAACCATTAATTCCCGCTCGCACTGAGAACATTCCGTCCCAGCGGACCTGTCTCGTTTACCAAAAGACCGCAATTTTTTTTCACTCGGTCGCTCGGTCTCATCCGGACAGTCGGAAGGTGATCGAAGATACACCCTTCGCCCTCCGGATATGTGTTTCGCGATCTGAGCCGAAATTATGAATCTACGTTGATCCCGCAACTTGAAGGATCAGTGAGGGGTCGCGTGAGATATAGCAATAAAAATTAATAGGTTGTTTGCCTGCCTTGATGCTATCAATTTCTACTTATTACGATTTCTTTTCCACAATAAAGCTCGAAAAAACTCGCACTTATTCGAGAATTATTTAATACTCGATTACATATCAATATTCCGACTGCATTTAACATTTATACCTGATTTCAATAAACAACGTATTAATTATGTAACGTACTCAATTGCGATAGAGTATTGTTGTGAAGAGATATCAAATAAATGGGCAACGAGTGGAATAATGAATAAATAAAACGCGCTTTCTTTATTTATAATCGTCTTTTTCCCTCTTTATCGTTGAAGTTACTTCGGTAGAATCGGAAGCTTTTAAAATTTGCACAGTTAGAAAGTGAAGATACAAATCTCGGCACGAGGTGCGTGTGGACTAGTATTGATAGTTATAAACTATTTAAAATCTCTGATTGAGAGCGTAATTAATCATACATTTATATTTATGTGTCGTTAATCGACTGTTTAGATCAACGTGTCCCTCGCGTGTAAAACAAATACAGCTAAACAATCAGAGATTTATGAAGTTATTATTATTTATCAAATAATAACGGGCTATGAATCGTGGATGACGGTTTTAGAGTAGACTAAATTTCGATATCTCTTTATTTTCGGTATATTCATCGAATGTCCATTAACACACATCGACTGTGTCGCGCGGCTTTGCATTCATTGCGCAAAAGTTCAACTAATGACCGTTTCACCATTGGCAACAAATAAATAAGCGCATATATCTGTAATTCATGATGCTCTCTATCCATGGCCGCACGGCCGATTTTTCAAACGCAATTAATTACACTCTGTGTGTGTGTGTGTAATTTAATGAGACACGGAAATATGATAATACCGGTCACCGTGGTGGCAGTCACGCAGCTCAACGTGCTAAAATCGGAAACGTTCTACGTAACAAACTATTTCACGCACCTGAATGTAAGCAACGTGTCGCTACCCACGTCCCGGCGTCCTGCATCCACCGTCCTGCGTGGCCTGCCTGCATCCTTCCTGCGTGCTTCCGGACAGTCACTCACTAACACCGACACTCGCGCAGCAAATGTGATTCAAGCGGAGGAACAAGAGTTAACCAATGCGATGCGGAGACGCGCGGTTAAATATTTCGATAGCCGGATTCGCAGATGTTTGCAATCGCCCGGGACGGGAATTGTATACAACGCAACACGATACGCACAACACTCCGCGGAGCGCTGGCTGTGCGTGCGTGCCTTGTCTCGGCTCGAGACGCAATGACTCGATCAAGGACAAACGCGAGTACCAAAACAATAGGCGAGAAAGGGCTACGCCATCGCCCCGACAATCGCCGAGTGTGTAGCGCGTCGATTAGTGACGGGTTACATACGGTGGCCGAGAAATCACGATCTCTCTGCAGCCTCAGGACACCCGAGATCAGGTCGACTCGGATTACCAACTTATTAATTGCGAATTAATTAGGACAATCGCGTCTGCACTGAAAGGGAACGTCGCATCGCACTGGACAATACGTACAATCGGACAATACGTCGTCGGCCGACGGACGGCCGTCGCTAATTGACGCCGCGTCTCCGAGCGGCTCGTATTTTCGCGCGACACCATTGAGCGCCTGGCCACGATGACGACCGGAAGCTGACTCCAGGACGGATTACAGGACGGGCGGGATGCAGTCGTCGGCGACGAGATTTGTGGCTCTTGTGTCTCTCATCTGTTTTGAAACTCCAAATCCCCTCGAACTCCTCCTGACATTAATAAATGCAACGACAAAGAGATTGCGTGAAAGAGGAACGCATTCACCCCGTTTTATTTACCCACTTACTCTCGTTGTTTGTTAGATTATTTAATATTTGCTTATCACGTTCCACCTGTAGCTGAATATGTTGCATAATTAACGTATTGTTTGCCGAATTTGAGAATAAATATCAAGTGCGTGGCGGCGTACTGTTGAAAACGCCGATCGAATGCCGGATGAATCTCACACGAGTATATGAGCGCCCTCTTTTCTGTACTCGAAGATTTTTTCAAGTTTAATGGAACCTGCAGGGCGGGGATGCAAAATATTGACACGCAGAATTAATAAAAAGTAACTCTCCGTTAATCGCAACATCCAATAGGTAATACGCGTTCGTGCTACAATGTATCGCCGTCGTCGCGCGGCCTCGAGGATTTTCTATGCAATCTAATGCAATTTGCTCTTCGCTGTTAATCGAGTGCTAATTGAAAGAAAAAAAAAAAAGTTATATCGAGAGAAACGAAGAGGATAAAGGGAAGATTTATGTATCTGAGATGCATTGCGAGCATTCATGGGTGAAAAATATCGCGACTAACGGAGAGAGCCTAAATACATTCCGTGAGCACAATGAGCCGCGTGTTTCTCAAAGATCACCACACTGGCAACGCACACGAGCGTGGCGCTCCAGCGGTATAAACTGCGAGCCCATTTGCTTTATGATCCCCGTGGATGACTCGCGACGGAGAGATTAGCGGCACCGGGGTAACGAGAGCGAGTTACGGGAAGCGCACTTTCGCGGAAAAATTACGTACGGCAATCATCTCCGCGGGCGAGTAGTCCCCGGCGAGAGGACGAGTCCGGGCAGCGAGTGTCGTGCAAAATGAGGAGAACGCGTAATGACAGGCTGCTGGCTTTAGTGGGCATGATTGATAACTATCCGATGCGCTGATCGAAACGGGAGAGCCATTACTTATCTCTCGAATGACTACCATTAAGCGCGTTCCATCGCCGATGTTGGCGTGCCAGGGCGGACTTTACAATATTCAAAGAGGAACTCCACTCGATCAGTAGCACGGAAATAATTATTCTCGATTACTCTCGCCCGCCCACCCGCCCCGCTCCTCGCCGCAAGCCCGCGGCACTTTGCGGCCGCGGCTGATTTAAATATCGGTGAGCTTTAATGCACGCGCAGTACGCGCTGACTATTTCCACTTGCAGTGATCGCTCGAGAACCGGCGGAATCGGCCCGCTAAAAACACTTTACCGCGTACAATACTTTTGGCTCTTTTATTACCAAAGCACGGACGACCGCTATCTCTCTCTCGTCGATAGCTTCGTGAACACGCTTGTCCTGAGACAATCGACCAGTGACCAATCGAGCTCTCTCGCGATCTCCCAGAGCGCTCTTACAGCGGAACAGCGGAAAATAGGCGATGCAAATTGTACGTGACAGTAAGTGTCGAAGAACGCTCGTTTTTCTCACGGGAATTCTAATCGGAACATCGCCGTCGTGTTCACAGCGGCGTCCCGAAAGCCGGAAACGGAATGTAACGCGAAGGACGACGAATTCTGCGCGATTTCTCATCTCGGGGGCTACACAGCACGCTTGATGGCAAGCTTCGGCGGTCTTCAACTAAAGTTCGGATATTACGGCGTGGCCGTTTGCCGTACGTAAACGTAAAGCAAATGTTGCGCACGCGTGTCAACGTGTGACGTGAGACGAGACGAGACGAGAGTAATCAGGACGGCCAAAGAGCCGTCGCTTGCGAGGAGGCAAGCCAGATATTACTTGATACTTTGTAAAGAGATGCCGCTTACCTGAAGATGGACCTGGCCGTTGTTATCGACCCAGCCGATGACCATGTCAGCTCCGGCGCGACCGGACTCGGGCGCCTTGGTGAAACCGAGTCCGACATAGCCGAGGGTCTTCACTTGGATCTCGAACGTAACGTCCCTCTCGCCGGGCGTCCACAGCACTAAGAAATTATTGTCCAGCACAGCGCTGTGCTTCCACTCGACGGAGACGACGCCGCTGACGGCGAGAGTGAGCAGGAGGAGCGAGGTGCAGCCGACCGCAGTCTTCATCTTTCCGAGAGCGCGCGCGCGGTACGGGCTCAAAACATCTGAAACGCAGAAGAGCGAGGGATTCGTGAGGTGACCGTCTCTCTCTCTCTCTCTCGTTTGCGGAGGGATAATTTATGCTAGTTCGCAACGTAATTCGCTTAATGGCTAATGGAGACGGAGGGACACGACGGTTGTTAACGCAACGTCCTTGTCCTTCTTGCTCGTTAAGATACTCCTCGGAAAAGGAATTTCGCATTTCGCTGTGCAAACACGCGCGCGAGCGAGCGGGATTACGAGCGAGCGAGCGGTGACTCGACGTCGAGTCGAGGCGAAGTTGTCGAAGCGCGCAGGTTGTCGACTGACGCGCTACAATTTGTTCGGCCCGGAAACTGAAAAATCGCGTTTCACGACGCGATGTGTTATTTAGAGGGCGTTCGAGCCGAACGAGTTGTTTCAAGTTTTCACGGTGGTGACCCGCCCCGCGGCTGCCGTAGATATCTTTGTGCAAACACGTGATCTAATATATCATTCCGTTGGGAACGGAATAGAATTTCGCAGGACGTCAGACGCTCGTCCGCGAAATGGAGCGGTAATACAATAAAACGCTAAACGGAGGGAAAACAATGTCTCGCACGGCACGGCACGGCACGGCACGGCACGGCGCGCGGTCGGTTGCATTTCCAAAGGCAACAACAGCGCGGAACTTTCAGATGCGCGAGAACGCGTAATATCGAACAACCTATGCCGATATTTTCCTTCGATATTGCGACGCCCGGATCCGCGCGCGCGCGCCCATTATCCGCGAAACGAGTGGTTTCGGAGCTATCCGCCGTGTTTAAAGCGCAAACGATCGCCCAGCGCAATGCCGTTTTTCTCTTTTTCTCTTTCTCTTCCTCTCTCCCCTCTCGGCGTTCCCGCGCATGTGTGCGCACCCTGGTGCATCGCTGTTCCCTCCGCTCGCCCTCCTGCGCCGCGACTTGCACCGAGATAGTCGTACGCATCGTGTTTTATCGTCCTTAAGGACCACTGGCCAATGCAACGGTCGTTTACGCTTCGCGTTCTACTTGAAATCGCTTCAACCTCTTTACGGTCCGCCTCGTTCTTTTGCCGCGAGCCAGAAATACCGTATTTCTCGCGCCGGGACAGAAAATACAGTCGCTAGCGCGCGCGCGCGCTCGCGCTCGCGCTCGCAGGCGGAAATATTACGTATGTCGGATATATTGCCCTATTTTGTGCGAAATAAACTCAGCTCGATGTAGAGTACTACAATTATATCTCGAAATCTAGTTCAAGCGTTTTAAAAGGGCTTCACCAGCAGAACGGAGAATGGAGTAGTGTAAATCTCGTTGGCAAAGGAGAGCTTTCGTGAACGAGGTGCGTTAAGAAAGGCGGAGAGACAAAGAGGAGAAGAAAGACGAGTAGGAATGCTGAACGAAATAAAAAAAACGAGAGAGAGAGAGAGAGAGAGAGAGAGAGAGAGAGAGAGAACGAGAAGAAAAGAGAGAGACAAACAATATTACACTCCAGTCCTTTTAAGCTTCGCGATAGCGGCATTCGATTTCCTTCAGAAAGCGTCAACTGGCGCGACGCTTATATTCCACGGCAACATCCGACGAGTGAGGAAGTGCCAACCGGCACTTTTTTCCCGCGAGCAGAAACAGCCATAAATAACGATCAACGTCATGGTTAATTTACTCCGGCGCCAAGTCGCTGCTCGCTCTGCATTTTCGAGAATCGAAACGAGGCGGCTCTTTAATGGGCCACCATTCAACGAGGACATTATCGTCGATTCCCCTCCGGGTGAAATCGGTATTGACCTCTTTATCAGCGATAGCGCTTTGTTTCCCCGAGAATAACGACGTTACAGCGGCAGGCGCGAGGTAACGCGAGGCCGGGTGGAAACGTGGGAAAATTAAGTTTCCGGCGGAATGAATCCGCGAACAAAGAGAAACGCCCATTTCATCGCGCGCGCCAACGTCTCGGAAAAGGATGGGCCGCGGATTGAGGTCGGGATAGCCGCGCTACCGTTTATTTTGCATTTTCAGCAATCAGGCACGTCTCGCGGTGGGGAGAGCGAGAAAAAAGTCAATTTGTACCTGCGGAGTAAGCGCTTCGCGCCAGCCGGGCGCGAGTTAAGGGCGAGATTGCTACTGCAACGGCGAGCGAGCCACCATCGTCCTCGGAATCGCAGGTGTATAACTGAAGTATGCGCCACCGAGAACCGCCAACTCCGCCTCTGCCCGTTTTTACGGTGAAATTTATTCGATCGAAAATATCGGCCACGGTTCCGTTGTTCAAATAAATTGGCAAAAACGGTCAGCGTCGTTGCGTCACGAGTTGCGTCCGTGCAGCCGTGCGGATGCGTCGTGGCCGGCAGTAGCGACGGTTTCCGCGACGTCATCGGCATAGCCGATTAACTCTACAATTATCGGGAAATATTCGGACGGCGAATCCTCAGACGACGAGCTCAGGCTCGACGTTTGCGCGCGCGGAATTTCGCCGTGATCCAACCTCGCGTGTCCTCCGCGAGGCGCGCTAAGGACCTTATCCGACCTCATCGGCGCGAATGAGGACGCCATTTAATTACGCGCGTGTTATCATTATCGAACAATCGGAATCACCGCTGACGCGAGCTCGCTTGCAAGCGAGCGTCAACACTCTCGCAGTTTGTCATAATAGAGAGGGAAAAAGAGCAGAGTTTATTAGTTGATGGGATGCAAATATTCCTTAAGGTATGCAGAAGGTATGCTGAAGAAATTAAACACGGCTGTATGCTGATGCGAAGCATGCAAATATAAAGAAGCACAGAGGAAAATGTTTGGTTGAGTGAAACGGTATTCTGTGATGAGATATGAACGATACAGAAATTCCGGTTGAAGTTATCAGAGGTTGTCAATCTGATGACAATCAGACTGAATAATACAGATTTCCGGTCAATTTAAACAGGATTCTGGTATTTCCAATCGAAATTTCTGAATCGTTCATATTTCAGCAAAAAATTAGTTTCTTTCACCGGACATTATTTTCTCCGTGTATCAGCTGCATAAAAGTATGTAAGTATATTATTAAAACAACAGATAATGAAACGTGGACAAAATGTTAGAATTTAAGTTCAATAGAAGAAGGTAACTAAGACATTTAGATGAATACAGCGAAGTAAATGAATACATTATTTCAGTAGATGAATAGATTATTCATCTACTGAATTGAACGAGAAGGAACAAGAAGATCGGCACAATGGTCAGCACGGGAGACGATGCGCGAGACTGCACGAAAGCGCACAATGATTGTCGAAAACAATTTTACACGCTTCATTAGTGCAACGAAGCGATGTGTCATCGCAGATATTACCCAAGCGATAACAAGTCACTCAACGGTAATTTCCCATTGTAATCTCCAAGTAAGTTGGGGAAAATATCACGTTTAAAAACTATCGAGTAGCTCGTTTTTCTATGTTGAATAGGTAAGTAGAGGGTGTTTAAAGTCACTGATTGAGAAAAAAATAGAGAAAAAGAGAGAGAGAGAGAGAGAGACAAAGAGGGCCACGGAGAGGAGCCGAGGACCTCGCACGCGCGAAACTTTTCCTCTCGCTCCGTTCGCCGTGGCGAATCCTCCGCCAGCGATTCGTTGCGCAGCTCTCGCGGAGCGCTCGCAGTTCGCCGCTTTTTCGCGACCGCGGAAGCAGAGACGAGCGCGCTTCATCAAGATCATTGATCGAGCGAGGACGCGGCGAAAACGCCAGTAGTGTGCACCTGCACATGCAACGGCAACACGCATGTGCGACCGTTGGCCGACGGAGAGGCACGTGGCGGCGGCGGCGGGGGGGAGGGAGTTATGGAGGAGGAGGAGGAGGAGGAGGAGGAGGAGGAGGAGGCAGAGAAGGAGGGGGAGGGCGGGCCGCTGAACCTCCGACCAGGGATCGACCGCGGATCTGCAAACGATCGTTTCAATTAACGGCGACAATGGCGCGGCGCATCGGCCGATACGCCGCAAATAGTAAGTCAATCCGGCGTGTACACGCGCGGAAATCATCGACGAGTTCGGCACCGAACGCACCGGGGGCCTGCATGGTTTAATCCCTCGCAATCGCGCGGTCCGAGCCGATGTTTGCCGCGGCGCGGCTGCTGTTTGCGACGTAATTGTGCAATGAGATTAACAAGATGCGTTTTACGCGGCCGGAGCTCCGGCGTTCCGAGCGATGCACCACCGCCCGCTGACGCGAGGACAGCTCCCTTTTTCCCTCTCGCTCTCCTTCCGTACCGAATGATCACTGATGGCGTCGAAGGGAACGACGACTGGACAGGATCGAAGTTAGAAGACGCGGCTCGAACACGAGATGGAGAGAACTCGAGCGACGGTCGAAAGTTTCGTCTGGGGTCTACATTGTTAATGAATAATTCGGTAACTCGTGAATGTACGGATGAAAAGTTCCACTCGCGCGGCCCAGGCGGATGGAATAAATATTGATGGGGAGTCGACGATAAAAGATGAGCTAAAGACGCAGCGTTCGTCGTTTTCTACAATTTCTAAATTCCCCCCGACAGATCTCACCTTCCGCTTCTCCAGCGTTCTCGACCTGCTTTCTCCTCGTGGGTTCCTCAATTTTTCAGGAACGCGTCCTGGAGAACGGAATCAGACGCGACTTTTGCGACAGCGCGCGGGAAGGCGAACGTTCGGAATCAGTGCGACGAGGTCAAGGTACAGCGTCGCCGTCGCCGACGGCATCATCCACCCGCGGCCCGGTCCGATGATTTACGACGGCGACGGGTGAGAGAAGGCGAGCGTAAGCGCGAAATTAAAACCGATCGATCCGATCAGCGGCACAACGGAATATGCAATGCGCAGGATACGTGTCAGGAGCGCGACACGGTTACGCGGAAATAATTGGACGAGCTGGAACTTGCATACAAAGGAGAGGGAGCGCCCGCGACTAATCCGGGCGATTAACAAAACCGATGTATCGGCAATTGGATTCGCGACGCGAGCTTACGCGAATTCCGGCCGGCCGGCCGGCTGGCATGAATTAAACATGTCAACTCGTGCCGCCATTCTAATGCGG